TGTAGGGAAGCCCCTGCCCCAGGGGCTTCCTCCTGTGCAGACCCCAGCTCGGAGGCCCAGATGGGGGGTCTGTTTTCTCCCCAACCATCCCCCAGGGCTGGCAAGGGCATGCAGCTAGGACACTGACTGCCCAGCAGAGGTGGGAGATGTGCAGGAGCATCCCCACCTTCTGGCCTTGGCCAGTGCAGGCAACTGCCTGCCTTGGTCAATGAAAGAGTATACGTGAGTTCTGTTTGGTAATGGTCCACTCTAGGCAATTTAGAGAAACTTGTATAGATTGGATAATTCCACCTCAGACTTTTTGACTATCAGTACTTAGCCTGGATTACCTTTTGTGACTTCTTTGTTCCTATGGGTTTATTGTTTGCTTGTTTGCCTCTTTCAGCTTTGCTTCTTCCACCTGACCTCCTTCCTCCCTTCTGCCTTTTGTATTTTAATTTCTCTCTCCTTATGTAGAACTCCTTTCACAGCACCTTCTTTCACAAAATTTGATGAAGTAAGCTTCAGCCCAGGAAGCTTGTGCCACACACACACACACACACACACACACACTTTGGTTAATCTAACCCAGGGGTACTCAACCTTTTGGACACCAGTCCAGATGAGTACTATGGGGATGGTCCATGGGCTAGATCAAACTGCTTGCTGGGATTGGGCCCTACACCACCCTCACTTGCCAGGATTGGGCCCTGTGCCATCCTGCATGCCCAATTTAGTGTACAGGGCCAAAGCCCACAGGGTTCCCAACAGATCCATGAAGAGCACTGTGTGTCTGATAACATGGTACCAGGGCTAGTTCTAGCTTGTAGGCCGTGAGTTGAGCATACCTGGCCCATAAATGCAAATATACCCTGCCTTCTATATGAATTCCTCTTGACAAATCTATTCAAGCTCTTATTTATCATCTTATCTACTAGGTGATACAAGGAACTCTCAAAGATAAGGGCCAATGGCTTTGCAAATACTTCAGCCAATTTCTTAAGTGCTCAGGGATGAATCTCATTAGCAGGAATCCTGGTTTTCTCTGACAAAAAATAGCAAATTCTCTGATAAACCCCCCCAAATTTGTTTTTAAAATTAAAAGCCCCCTTCAGCCCCCGCTAGCCCTGCTGGTGCCCCTCACCTGCCCTGCTTGCAAACAGCTCTTGCAGGTTGGAGCTCAACCATCCTGCAGAGCTCTTTGCAAAAGCATGGAATCCGTGGGCTTCTCTGCTAAAAGGAGAAATCCACATTTTCTCTGATAAAAAGGGGAAATCCGTGGTTTTCTCTGTTTTTTCCATGGGAAACAGAAAACCAGGATCCCTGCTCATCAGGTTCTGCTCATCTCAAAGCATCCATTTTATCTAAGTAATTCATAACTTTTTTTTCCCTTGCTCTCAACTGAGTGCCTAGTCCCTGGGCCTGCTGACAATTGTGCTTGTCATCTGACCAGTGACTTTTTTTTCCTGAAGTAAAAAGCATTAAACAATTCAGCCTTCTCCATATTGTCTATTTTATTACCTTCCCCTCCCTTTTCACTAATGGACTTACACTTCTGTTGATCATCACCTTACTTCTAATAAATCTCTAGACTGTATTTTTTTTTTCACTTTCTTGCCTCTTGCTGTCTATATATCAACTTTGGCCTTTCCAATTTTGCCCCTATACTTTCAAACAATACTATTCTACTTATCCTTAGTAACATGGCCAAGTTTTCAGGTTTTGTCAGATTTTAAATATTTAAGACCTTTTTAGGTTTTAAATATTGAAGAACTCATTCTTTAGTTAAGCAGGTCTCTGACAACACTTCCAATCCTTTCCTTACATTGTTTCTTTAAGGAAAAACAAACTCCTGAATTCCTTTTATCCTTTGACTTGTATCCCATAGTCACTTGCTTACAATTCTTTGGAGTCTGTTATTATCCTTTTCTGAAACCATTATCAAATGAGAGCACAGCATACTTCACTGGAGGTTTTCAGCCACTGGACAAAAGGGATTCTAAGATGGCTTCCCATATGTTTACAAAACCAAAAGTTATTTCCTAGGAAATAACAGGGAAAGTTAGTTCACCTGTACCTTGATCTTCCAGTAGGATTAGGATAGACAGAATAGTATTAAGGCTCTAGTTATTTACAGTGTCTACTTTCAGTTTGGTTGGTAATCTCTGAATTTTAATGCTATTTTTTCATGTGTTTCATTACATTTTACTTTTTCATATTTCACTTGATACAAGTATACTTCTGAAAGTATGTAAGGTGACCCATAGAAATCAAGGTAGCAATCTCAATCTCAGGTGTTTACCTAAACAAACAAAGCTGAATTCCATATGTTTGTGGAACTTGGATTAAGAAAGATCCTTAAATTCAATATTGAAATGTACTGTACTTACAATTGTAGTCATAGTCTCTTCTGTCACCACCTTCAGTGTGTCAACAACTGAAATGTAGCCAAGCCGTTTAGCAATGGCAAGGGCAGTGTTCCCATTCTAAGAAGTTAAACATTTATATAAATGGATTAGTATGAACAATGCTCAACTATAGAAACAAAAATAAGCTTGATAAAGATGTGTAACAAAAGCCAAAGAAAATGTTTACAATGCAATGAATGAAAAAGATTTTAAACAGAAGGACATGTATAATTGGGAGTTTAACAATTTACAGTGGTTAACAGACTTTTTCCATTACTGGCCAGAAATTACCTAGCTTGGGTCCAAGGCGGGCAGGTGGTAGGAGCTAGCCCACACCACTGGCACTTTTAACTCTCATCTGGCTGCAATCTGGCATGACCAAAGCCCCAGTTCCCTGGCCTCAGGATGGTCAAAGCTCTCCATCACCAAACACTGCTAAAGCTTTAGGCTGGACATAGCATGCAGACTGTAAGCTGCCAACAGCTTATTTACAGTGATGGCAAAAAGAGAATATTCTTTCATGAACACATTTTCAGCTATTTCCTATTTCAGGAAAATTTATGAAAATATGATATGGGGCATCATACCATACCTGAAAACAGTGTGCTGTGCTATTCATTTTTCTGCACTTTTCCATATTTCTATTGCTGGGATAGAGTAGTGGCACTGCACTTTTTAGGGAAGGGAAAATATTAACATGCTAAGGAATAAGCTGCCCACGATACATTTTTTCTTGCCTCTTACCACAGTGAGTTCATTGGGCGAAGCACCATGCTGGAGTAAGACATTAATGATATGGGTGTGCCCCTGTTGAGCTGCCTGATGTAGGGGTGTGTATCCATTCTGTCAAGGATGGAAAAAACAGAAGAGTTCACAGTGTTCAAAGGGGACTGGTAATGTTTACAAAATAAACAAAGTGAAGACAAGAAAGACAACCTCACCTTTGTTTTGGCGTTAACTTTAGCAAAATGTTGCAGAAGGAAATTAACAATCTTTATGTTTCCATAGTGGCAGCCAACATGTAATGGAGTGTATCCCATCTGCAATGATTTGGAAAAAGGAGACATAAATTCAGATAAGCAATTAGGAAATTAATTCTGTGAATTTCCTGATAATAAAATGAACACAAAACAGAAAAATCTTGTTGTTGTTGTTTGTCTGGTTTTTTAAATTTGGTCATGTGGAATAACATACTTAACAGGTTAGTGCTCAGACTTCTTTTTCGTATCTAGCCTGTCTGCAAAATTCTCCTTTCCCCTTTCCCATTGAAAAGGAATATATGATGGGAAATTACTCTGCGTTATTGCAGCACCTAGCATATTTATTGCTGATTTAAGAGACATTCTGTTCATATTCATTAGGATTGTAAGATTTTGGGGACATGGGCTATCTTTGTATCACATGTTTGTACTTAATACAATGGATCTATTATTCTTAACTGGAGCCTCCAGGCCAGTGGTTCTCAATGCTTCTTTAGACTCAAGGCACCCTTGGAAAATGCCAGCTCTTAACTTTCATTTAATTTTTGGCTATGGAAAAATAATAGAGCAATTTGTCTTTTCCAAAGAACTCAGAAAATCCACTGCAGGTCAGAATGTTATGGACATTGTGAATTCTTATTAGAAATCTCCAAGTTTATCTTACAAATCAAATCTAGGTATTTGCACACCTAACAGTTCTAATATTGCATGGCATCCTTAAAAGGATTTAAATCCTTAAATCCTTATAGTAGGCATCTGGTTGAGAATCACTGCTGTAGGCCCTCAATAAAACTAAACAGTGATAACAATTTTCCTAAAGTTTACTAAAATGATGGGTGTGCTTATTCTGTACTTACATAAAATGTATGTATTTAGTTCATCTGTAATAGGACAGGAACTCTTTGCTTCCCTATGAAGATGTGGAACATTTTTTTCCACAATCAGTGGAGACTGATAGTGCATGTGTTGTGTTATTCATGACTATAGAAAAGACACACCCAATGCATACTGGGAAAAATCTTTAATAATATCTAAAATGTAATAGAATTGCAGGTGACAAATTGAAGAGTCGCTATTGCTTGGTAGTCAGGGTCTGAGTATCAATCATATCGTTAGCAGGTATGGGCTTTTGAAAGACCTTAAAGTTTATCTTGTCATTTCTGGACACAGCTTCCTTTTGCTCATCTTAAAAAAAATACACAGATTTTCAAAAAATTGAAATGACATGTTAAAAACTTTTACAGATTCTTTAAATTAATAAAGTGAGAAATACCATCTAATTCAACCATGCAAGGAGCACCAAAAGCTGCTTTCTTCCACCTTTTACTCCTTTTCTGTATTCTGCTAAAATGAGAACCTAGATCATTGCTCTGGAATGGTTTGCATTTCTTTGAGATCCTCTGAGTGATAGAAATGATTAGATAATCCTTCCTAAAACAATTTTCTCTTTCTACCTTATCTGCTTGCATCAAGACAACATTATCTCTTCTTCCTTAACAAACACACTTTCTTAATTCTATTCAAGTTGGAGCAGCCAGAAGGACAGTTCAGAATAGGGGCACCTGAATATAACACTTAAGCTTTTTTTTCTTCTTCTTCTTTTTTTTTTTTTTGTAGAGTCTGCAAACATTGACCAAGCTGCCCTCTGAATCACATTGCTAACCAGGAAAGGACTGTTATCTTTATTTTACAAATAGGTAAATCCAAGCAAAGTAGTTAAATAACTTGTTCAAAGGCAGCAGGAAAGCAATGCTAGAGTCAGGGCTGGGATTTAGGTGTGTTCCCTATCTTGTGTTCAGATCATTGGGCAATGCCTCTTAAGAAAAAGACAAATTTGAAGAGCTCAGCATAGTTTTGTTCACATTGTCACAACCCAGTGATTTTGGTTCTCGGCACTATGGAATTTCCTGGTCACATGAGAGCTCTTTTGCACGGCAGAGTGTTCTGCTGCAATTGAGAACCCGCGTATAGGAAAGAGTTCCCGCCAATTTGCAGTTTCCTTTGCAGGATGCATTTCTTCTTTGCAGCACAGAAATGCACGGTGCAAAGAGTTCCCGCTATTCGAATGTAAATTTGTACCCCGCTATTGGCCACTGCTAAATTATTCACATGTGGCGGCTAGTAATTGGCTCGCTGGCCGTTTAAAATTCCGCGCGACTTCCGCCCAAGTCGAAGAGCTTTGAGCACGCTGCAGAGTGTCTCTGAAGTTATCTGACTTGCAGCTGCCGATCGATAGACTGATCACCTATCGATCTTTCTTCCCGTCACCGAGCGCAACCCCGACGTTTGTTCAGATGACCGGACCACCTGCGTCGTGATTGCAAGCGGCGTGAGTAAAGTTTTTTCCAACCAATAAGTTGTGTCTGCCTCTCCATTCACCAGCCCGCCCTAACGTACGACCAATTTCTAACACAACTCGAGTCGGCCCTGGCCGTCTGAGACATGGCGACGAGGATGGGATCTAAGGGCACGGTGATGGAGATGAATCTGATTGGGTGCTGCCCCTGGTGCACCGGGACACGCCGTGTAGAGAATGCAAACGATCTATGGGCACATATCGCTTACCACCAGGCGGTAGAAGGGGATCAAAGAAATATTGATGGTTACTTCTCCGTAAAAAGAGAAGAAG